GGCTTCCTAAAGTACTCTAGGTTCTTGTAGTTAGTAATTACCGTGAACTTCTTTAAAGACCTTAGCATTCCGTCCTATTTAGCTATGCAGCAGATTACTGTAAGCAATTCTTTATTGTGGATTTCGTAATTGCTCTAAGCGCTAGTTATCTTTTTTGAGTAGTAGGCAACTAGTCGTAGCAGCCCTTAGTCGTCGTACTAAGATAGTACTCTAGCAACTACGTAACCAGACGAGTTGGTCTCTAAGATAGTCTCTTGATCTAGGTCCTATTAAGCGAGTACTAGTTTGGTAATAAAGATCTCTTTTAGCTTGTCGAACGCCTGTTGCTCTACTTCTCCCTATTAGAAGGTAATATCTCTAGTTAACCTTGTAAGTGGAGCTGCTATCTCTAAGTAGTTCTTGATAAAACGTTAGTAGAAGTTCGCAAATCCTAGAAAGCTACGCACTCCCTTTACGTTCACTGGGGGTTCCCATTCCTTAATAGCCTAAGGTACTTTGTACATTTAACGTCGAACTCGCATTTCTTGATATCCAAAGGTAAACTAGCTTTGCCTATGGCCTTAAGGACCTTGTTTGTGTTTTGCTAGTGCTCCTTTAGGGTACTGTTAGTGTAGATCAAGACATTATCTAGGTAGGCTGAGCAGAAGTCGTTAATGTACTCACGAAGCGTCTAGTTAATATACCGCTAAAAGGTGCTAGGTGCGTTTGCTATACTAAAAGGGGTGACTAGCTACTTGTACAATCCAAATCGGGTGCGGAAGGCTGTCTTCTATTCGTCTCCCGCGTTAATCCTTATCCTGTAAAAAGCAGCTAATACATTAATCTTTGTAAACTATTTTGCTTTAGCGATGTTGTTAAAGGTCTCCTAGATTAGGGGTAACAGGTATTAGTCCTTCTTAGTAATTGCGTTAAGAGCTCTATAGTCTACGCAGAAGCGTAGCCCTCCTCCTAGCTTCTTTGCGAATAACACTAGAGAGGCAGCTAAGGAGCTACTTGCTCTAATCCATCCCTTGTCGAGGAGAGATATTAATTCCTTGCGTAAGACTAGGAGCTCTCCTCTGCTTATGTTGTACAAGGGGCCCTAGGGTAGCTCCTTCTCCTTGCTATTCTTATCCTTCTCTAGTTCAATCTAATAATTAATCTCCGGTCCGCGCAGAGGAGGCATCTTTGCAGCTGTTTTAGGGTCAAAGATCTAGGCTATGTGCTAGTGTGCTTTAGGAAGATAAGATATAACATTAACCTTCTTCTTTAGGGCTAACGCTTTCTTAATGTCTTGAAGAGAGGCTGCGAATATCTGTACTGTCTTGTCGTTCTTCGAGCGCTGGATGTACGTGTAATAAGCTGTTGCACTAATGCGCTTTAGCCGTAGGTCCTTTAGGATAGAGCAGTCCTCTGTGCTAATAAGGCGGATCCTCTAGTGTAATAAATAGATATAGATAGACTTCTTTGATAGAGCAATAGTAACTTGTCTCTTGTTTATCTACAGGCGTCTAAGTATAAGATTATACCCTAGGTGTGAAGGCGCAACGTATCCCCATATAGTGTCCTTGTAGCCTTAAATGTCGATAGTAAGCCTAGCGACTCTTCTAATAGTCCTAGGCTCTTTAGTAACTCCTTCTAACACGTGGGGGGAGATAGGTAGGCACTATAAACTAGCACGTTTAATAAGGCGGGGGCTTATAAGAGAGTATAAGAGATTTCTAGTGTTAATTAAGGTTAAAGCAAAGGTATGCTGGTTAACTAGTGTCTCGACAGTAATCCTATTGCCGCTTATGTCCTTCTTAAAGGACGCCTACTCTTTTGCCAAATTGTGCTAACTTACATGCAGCTCTTGCCAGTGACTTTGGGCAAGAGCTAGTCTTTTCCTGAGTCGCTGTCTTCTTCTAGGATATCCACACTACTTAATTCCTCGTTACTACTTAGTTCCTCCTTCTAGGCTTTCCTGCTCTTCCTTTGCTCTGTAGTCTTAGAGCTAGAGGCCTTTAGCACAGCTGTCTTTTTGTTCTTTCCCTTCTTCTTAGATAAACCTTTATCCTCTACACAAGTAGCAGACACATGTCCTCTACGTTTACAGTTAAAGCAGCGTCCTTTACAGCGTAATTAGTTATACTTAGAGCTGCTAAGTCAGCGGGGCCTCCTGGATCTCCCTGTGTATTCTACACCTTCTATTCTATCCTCTAGTATTAGGGAAGGAGAACGGTGCTTGTTCCCGTGTTCTTTGTTTAGGGATCTGTCTTCCTAACGGCGGTTCTTAGTTCCCTTAGTATGCAAGTCCATCCAATACAGCTAGTCGGCGATCTCGATTGCCCTGCTCTGTAGCTCCTCTAGATTCTTGCTCTTTAGGCCTACAAGCTTGTCCTAGAGCTTGTAAGCGAGGCCTTTTCTAAAGATTATTATCTTTGTATTCTCGTCTAAGCTGCTGTTAGAAAGCAGTAACTGCTCCTAGAAGTCCATCACGTAGCTACGGATGTTCTTGTTCCCTTGCGACATAGACCAAAGCTTGTTACGAGCTCTCTCCTCCTTGTGTAGATCTCTAAACATCTAGTTAAAGAACTTAAGAAGTTAGTTAAAATCCTATTTGCTAGATATTCTTATCTAGCTTATGTATGGCAGGGTTAGAGTAGCAGCTGTTCCCTTAAGTCTCGCAAAGGCGTAATCACATGCTATCTTATCGTTCTCGAAATCATTCTTGTTATTTTCTACCTTAGCTGTCAGCTGCTAGTAGAAGACCTAGTATTGCTTCCTTGTACTATTGAACATGTCTAGGTTAGGCTGTTAGCGGCGCTTTGCGGCGGTATTAACAGTGTTTACGGGTTGTATTGCAGCTAGAAGGGTAGCTAGCTATGCCAGCAGCTAATTGTTTGGGTTTACGGTTGTAGTTGTAGCTGTAGTAGCTAGAAGATGTAGGTCTCCTGTCTTTATAGGCGCTAAATCCTCATTGCTCTAGGGAGTAGAGACATTGCTTGAACTAGCCCTCTGCAGCGCAGTTCTTATCGTACTCTAGATATAGAAAGCTTCCTGTACTCTTTCCTAGACTGCAGGCTTATCTATCCCCTAGGCCCTACATAGGTTCTAAAGAGATCCTCGTATCTCCTTATTGCTTACACCGTCGTGGTACAGTTGCGTTATCTGTACTGCTAGCCCTACTACAGAGGCATCCGCTGCTGCTATTGTGCTAGTGTAGGTAGGTCGATTTCTTAGGCTACGCCTTTAGTAGTAGACTTATCTAACGGTCTTTAGTAGACCTTTCTTGGTTTCTAGTGCTGCCTAATGTCCGCGACGATAGCAGGCTTATATAACGATCCTTAGTAGACCGTTCTATATTTCTAGGTGCTTGTACGTGTACTAAGCTGTGTAGCACTGCAGCTAGTTGCAAGTGCTCTTCGTTAACCCTCAGTAGGTTCGAAACGGCTTAACTAAGATCGGTTCTTTAATCACTTAGTATCTTCAATATATCGCTCTAAAAGGCGTCCGTCTAGATGTAGCTCTAGGGGGCTTCGGTTATTACTACTATAGAGGTTACTCCAAAGAGGCTAGTTCGACGTAGCAGATGCTACAGAAGGATTAAATTTAATTGTAAGGGTGCGATAGGTTAACTATAAGTGCAAGGTATAACAGTAATAAATTCGATAGAGAAGCTACACTACGCTTGCGCTAAGTCTATGTATCACGTAGTGCTAGGTTCGAGAAACTTCTAAGGGTCTGTGGAGCGCCGATAAAGCCCTAACAACGCTCTAAGGGTTGCAGCCTATCCTAACTAGCTATAACAAAGGCCACAGGCCAAGTACTACTAACTAAGGCTTTAGCCTCTTACAGTATTATTTTAGTTAGTGCTTAGATATCTAGATTCTAGCGTAATTTTAGGTACGTAGGCTCTATAGCGTTACATTTAGAAGCTAGTGTCGTTAGGTTCCTACAGGCTAATGTGTCCAAAACTTAAGTATGTTAATTAGCGCATTAAGTTGCACTATGCGTCCAATTTGCATACCTGTTAGGTGTGTAGTTAATAGTGTTAGGGTTTAGTGTTTATAGTTAGAGTTAAGCTAGTAGAGTTGTAGGGATACAGCAGACGTTAACAGTCTAGGGTTAGTAAACGTTCTAAGTCAGAACAACAAAACCCAGCTACAGGGTTTGTCGCACAGTACGGCGGAGGAGGTTGGAGCGCACGCAGTATCCGTAGTAGATAAGACAGTAGAAGCACTATATTATACGCATACCACCGTTTCCCATCCGCGCGCACCCGTAACCCGTTATTATAACCCGTTGTCCGTACGCGTTGTTAGCACTAATCTGCAGGAAGCTATACCACAACTGCCAAAATGGCCGACAGCACGGTCGCAGACGTTTATTTTAAGCATTTAGTTAAGTATGCGTTGTTGGTATGCAGGGAGTGTAGGCACGGCGTGTTACCCAGCCAGGTTAAGAGCCATTTGCAGCGCGCCCACCGCGTTAAGCGTAAGCAAGCCGAAGTAGTAGCAGACGAGGTTAGCAGTTGGGCTAGGTTAATTGAGTACGCCAGCGAGTTAGAGGTGCCCAGGCAGGCCATTAAACCCATACCGCAATTGCCGGTGTACACAGACGGGTTGATGTGTCGAATTCACCCAGACCATTGCCGTCAGATATTCCGAAGCGAACGCGTGATTAAAAACCATTAGCGGGACGCCCACAGCTGGTCACCAGCAGAGAAGGGAGGACGCCCAAGTGGAGTAGAGCAGAAGAAGATACAGGACCGCGTTAACAAGAATTGCAAGAACATCTATTGCTAGCAGTTGTTAGTCTAGGGCTAGGGCTCGTAGTATTTCCAGGTCCACTAGCCTAGCGATAGTAGCCTAGATGTCGTGCCTGTTAACAGCGACGCAGCGTAGGCGCAGGTAAGTAAGGAGATAGCTAGGGCGTAGGCTAACATCAAGACCTAGGCGCAGAACACTATCTAGGAGGGCGAGCGAGACGAGGTGAACCCGTGGCTGGAGCGGACGCAGTGGCTGCCGTATTTGGTCGGCATGGAGCGGCCGGAGTTGATGGCGTGCATCGAAGAGCCCGTGGCCGAGCTCGAACCCAGAGGCAGGCATGGAGACGAGCAGCGGGCCGAGCCCGTGGAGGCGGCGATGTGGGAGGCCATGGATGGGTTGGCGCGGTTCAGTCAAGCGTCCGTCGTGCGCCGCATCGGCGTGTTCGTGCGGCTGGAGGCCATCCGGACGGAGAAGCACCAGACGCGGTACCAGCCGTTGCAGCCGTACATGGACGAGCAGTCGATCGTCAAGCACGTGCGGCCGTGGCAGCAGATGGTGATGTTTTTCGCACGCACCCAGCGCGAGCACGCGTGGAAGAGCCCCCGGTACCGGTTCACACGCCGGCAGCGAGACGCGTGGGAAGCGTTTGTTAAAGAGGCAGAGAGGATTGCGGAAGGGGGGGCAGACGAAGAAGAAGAAGAAGACGAAGGTGAAGAGATGGACGTAGACGACGGCGAAGAGGGCATGGCGGACGACGTCGACGAGGGTATCGACGAGATGGAGGCAGCCCAAGACACAGCCCCCAACGCCATCGTCGAGCCGACGAAGTTGTCGAGCATCCAGCGGGCGTGTTTAGAGTTTTGCGTTGCGTTGATGAGCCAGAAGATCACCCGCAGGGAGTACGACAGCGCGTTGGTGTGCGCGTTGGCCGTGTTGGGCGTCAAGGAGGACGGGTGGAAGGGCGCCGAGCAGTATCCGCCCGTTTTGTCGGCCGTGATCAAAGTCGCCCGATTTATGGTGGTGCAGCAGGCGTTAGAGTTGTCGGGGCCGTTAGACGAGGACGAGTTGGACGACAGCGCGTACGAGAGCGACAGCAGCGGGCCGCGCCAACGCCAGCCCAAGGGGTGTTTGCAGTTTGTGCAGGAGATGATGGACCGGTTCATGGTGCGAGGCAGCCACGGACCCATGCAGTGGATGTTAGATTTACGGACGTACGGGTTGAAGATCCATTACAACACCACGTCGCGCGGGCATGTTGAGTGGACGGGCGGCGATGAGTTGTTGTACAAGGGGTTGCAGTTCAACATGGCGCAGTTCCGCGGCATAGTGCACAGGTTAGCAACCAAAAGCCAGCGATTGTTAATAGAGGAGTTTATGTTTAGCAGCAGCAAGGCCAGCGAGCCTATACCCTACAGTCCGCAACAAGCAATCTAGATTAAACGGATTAATTAACTTAATTGGTTTAACCAATCTAATCAATCCAATCCGTCGCTTCTTAAATTTACGCCAATCTGCAAGCAAATTAATCTTAGACCTTTAGATTAATTGATTAGATTGGTTAGATTAGTCAGATCGTTATTCCAGGAATGTAGATTAAGATCGAGTAGTCCGCCTGCATTGTCTGTGATATCACGTGATGATAAGAAAGTCACGTGCATATAAGCCAATAAAACAGCTTATCACGAATTCAGCATCTGCCTCGGAGATTCGATAACTCCTATGTATAAATTAACCAATCAAGTCAATTAAGTCAATCTAAGCTACTTCAAAATAGCTTCAATTAATCCACAATTAATCAGCAGCTAGGCTGCTAACAATTAAGTTAATTAACGACTCTAAGATTAATTAGATTACTTGTTGCAGAGTCTACTATACCTAGCGTTCCGTGGGAGAGCATGCGAGACAACCCGACCGACGAGCGGCCGGGATGGAGTTTTTTGAAGGACCATCGCACGCGCATGCCGGTAGATGGGGAGAGGTGGTTGTTTGAGCGGGTAGGAAGAGACGCCAGCATCCGGAACCGGTTCATGAAGCCAGGAATGCGTTCAGGGGTAGACCGAGAGGGGGTCGAGCGGTACATGGGGCGCGTTGTCGAGTTCCGGGAGAAGTTGGCCGTGTTAATGCACATGGCAGGCGGACAGCCCGCAAGAGGACCGGAGATTTTAAGCGTCCGGCATAGCAATACCGTTAAAGGGGGGCACCGCAACATATTCATCGAGGACGGCATGGTGGTGTTTGTGACGCGGTACCACAAGGGATACAACGTCAGCGGCGACGTGAAGATTATCCATCGATATTTGCCACGCGAGGTAGGCGAGTTGGTGGTGTGGTATTTGTGGTTGGTGTTGCCGTTCCAGCAGCGGCTGGAGGCGTTGGTGTGGGAAAAGGAGAACGTGTCGTCCCACATGTGGCCAGCGGACCCCAACGGACGCAAGTGGACGACAGAGCGGTTGCGGGAGGCGTTGAAGCGCGAGAGCCGGATCGGGATAGGACAGGAGTTGACGATTGCCGCGTACCGCGAGATTGCGATTGGCATAAGTCGGCGATTTTTACGCGGATCCGCAGCATTTCGGACGGAAGAGGGAGAGGAGAACGAGGAGTGGGCGGAGGAGAATATAGGGGCGTCGATTGCCGACGAGCAGGCCGGACATAGCGCGCACGTTGCCGGGTTGATATACGCGCGAGCAGACTTGGGAACAATCAAGTTTTTTGATTGAATTGATTGATTCTTGATGCAAAAGCTCAATCAATTCAAAATCAATTTACCCTTCGAGATTTTCTAATTAGGAACAATTAGAGGCTTAAAATTGATTGAAAAATTGATCTAATTGATCGTTATTGATCGCAGCATAGGAGGCGTAGGATGAGGCTAGCGGGGCCTACGCAAGATCGATATCGCGATAATTTTTTAGTGTTGAGTTCTTATTAGTCAGCACCTAGGTAACCTCGCAGAAGATCTGTTTCGAAACGCCCTAGCTTATGCAAACACGTTATCTAGTATCTTGTTATAGACGCCTCCTACGCCGCTAATCTACAGTATTTTACGCGCTACGCCTACCTATAATGCCCCCAAAGCCTCCTAAACGCGCTGTTAATCGTGCTGCGCACCTAATAAACGCGTTAGAGTTAGTCGCCAAAGCCCTCCATCGCAACCTCCATCGCAATTGCAGCCCGAGCTGCCTATTACAGCCTCGCCGGGCAGGGCCTAACGATCGCCGCGAGCCAGGCCGCCGAGGAGACTCCACTCGAACTACAGCTCTTCGATCCGCTACTTAGAGACGCGATTCCTCCGCCAGCTAAGGGCTTAACTGCTGCTACCGAAGCTACAAGCGAGGCAGGCGATATTACCGGCGATACTACAGGCAATACTAGTGAGCTGGATGCCTGGTTTGCTGATACTTTTGACGGCCTTAACTGGGCTGATATACCTCAATATACGAAGCCCTTAAGGACCCTTAAGGGAAAGAAGAGCTGGGTATTCCAGCATGGCTATCGCGTCGCCAAACTCGGCAACCCTACAAGGACTTTCTGGATCTGCAGGTACTGCTATCGACACCAGAACAGAGATGGGATGCGCCCAATAGAGGTAACAACCTCAACAACAGCTGCGATAAGCCATATGGGTCAAGCTCGCGCAGGCCATCGCCTCGATCGTCAAGGCAGGCTCGCTAGTACTACGCTGCCTCGCGGCCAAACGTCTCTACGATTGTTGAGTAACAGCCGTGTAGCTGTATCTCAGGACATTGCAAACACGCTTGGAGGATTTGATGTACAAGGCTTTCGATACGCTGCAGTCAGCTGGCTAGTCGACAACAATCACGCCCTCCGCGAGTTTGAAACACCAGCTTTCCGCGAGATGATCGCGTACGCTAACTCAGAGGCTGCAGAAGCCCTATGGGTAAGTCACCGCAGTATATCAGCCTTTGTTATGAGGCTCTATCGACACCTAGAACCCTTGGTTGTTGCAGATCTGTCGCAGGCTGCTAGCAAAATTCATATAAGCTTTGACGGCTAGACAACAAAGGGTGGTAAACGCGGTTCTTTGGCGTTGTTGCTCATTATGCTGATACCTTTGGCAACCTTAGGGACCTACCTATTGCCCTGCCTCAACTACAGGCGCTCATACAGGCGAGAGGATCGCTGAAGTTGTATACAAAACACTCCAACAGTTCCAAGTTGATAGCTCAAAAGTTGGATACTTTGTCCTCGACAACGCCTACGCAAACGATAGCGCTATCGCCAAACTCGCCGATATATACCAGTTCGACAGGCTCCATCGTCGACTCGCTGCGCGCCTCATACGCTCAATCTCGTAGGCCAGGCGATTATGTTTGGAGTTAATACTTAATCGTTTAATAATGATACAGAGGAGCATTAGGCTGAGACAGAATACCTGCAAAACTGGCGGCGCGATGGTCCACTAGGTGTCTTACTTGATATAATTAACTATATCAAAACGCCTCAACAACACGATCTGTTTGCCTCGCTGCAGGCCTTAGTTAACAAGCAATCTTACACACAAACAGAAACGATATTAGAGCCTATTAAGCCTGTAGTTACACGGTGGAACAGCTATCACGACGCCTTTGAGCGTGCAGTACACCTATCCCAAACTTTTAACCTATATTCCAGTCACCATATCGAGCAGATCGCTCGCGACGACGCGTACGCTATATCAAAGGGCAACAAGCTACTAGAAGCGCCATCATGGATGCGATTAGATGGCCTATCGGCGGCAGATTGGGCGGTGGTAACTGAGTATATCGAGGCGTTGAGGCCGTGAAGGAGGCCACCAAACGCCTTGAAGCTCGCGGCAAAACAGGTGGATTTGGAGCTCTATATGAGGTGATCCCAGTATACGAGTATATCCTTAGTACCTATGAGGCGATAATTACTACCTACGATAGCGTTGACTATAGCCCCAATAGCGCTCCTGAGGACCACCTGCCTATTAACCTAAGGGCGGCCTGGCGGAAACTAAACGATTACTACACTAAACTCGACGCCTCGCCTGCCTACTACGGCGCTGTTTCCTCCACCCGTACTACAAAAACTACTGCTTTAACAGCTGGCGCGATAAGCCTCACTGGCTTACCGCAAACGAGGATGCCCTACAACAGCTTTGGGCGCAATACAAGCCGCTATCGCTACCTACAAGAAGGCCTCTACCGCCACGATCAAACACTATAGACGATGCGATCGATGCGCTCGTTGATCGCGAGTATACAACCGAGCTGAACATATCAGAGGCGGATGAGCTTGACTGCTGGCGGCGATATGAGCCAGCGTGGACAAAGGCGCAGTTCGCATAGGAAGGCAGCCCTATACTATACTGGATTGGCCTACGCACGCGATATCCTCACCTATCGCAACTCGCGATAGATCTGCTCACAATACTAGCCAGTAGCTGCCAATGTGAGCGCCTCTTTAGCGAGCTTGGCGATCTATTAGAGCCTCGGAGGCGGAAGATTGGATCTTAACTACTAGCTGCGATACAATGTGTACGGAGTTGGAAGAGGGCAGGTTTTAAGCCTTCTAATAACGCAGAGGATACTCTAAATGAGTCTGAGTTAGCTGCGATCTACGATATATGCAATTGGGAGACAGATCTCTAACTATTTGTATACAAGATTACTCAAAGTTTCACATCAAGAACCATCAAAAAGTCAATCAATTATCAATTAACATGCCTAAAAACCTCTTCAATCAAGTCAATATTAATGTGAACTCGGAGTTTTTTCAATTAGAAACAATTACAGGCTCAAAATTGATTGAATTGATTGTTCCCATCTCTGCGCGCGAGGGATCATGGAGCAAGCCGGGGCGGTGGCAGACAAGAGGCAGCAGTTCCGGACGTCAAGCACGGATTGGCATCGATTTTTAGGGTTCGGAGCCGGCGTAGAGGAGGGGACGATGAGCAAGAAGCGGAAGAGAGCGCCGTTTGAGAGCGAAGCAGACGAGGCGAGGATAGATCGATGGGGGCGATTGAGGAAGATGGACACGGCCGCGCAGTTGCAGCGGATGATGGGCAAGGCAGCCGAGTTTCGCGGCGTGCAGAAAGAGGCCATCGACGCCATCGTTGCCGGCAAGAGTCACGTAGTGGCCGTGATGCCGACCGGGGCAGGCAAGAGCATGTTGTTCATGTTACCAGCATGGGCCGAGCAGGGCAGTACAACAGTAGTTGTAGTGCCGTTAATCGCGTTGCAAGGAGACATAATGCGACGATGCAGGAAGTTAGGGATATCGTGCTCCGAGTAGGACAGCCGCTGCCTGCTAGACGCAGCCGCAGTCGTGTTAGTAACGCCTAAGTTAGTAGTTAGGGAAGAGTTCGCGACGTTTTTAAACTAGTTGCGGGCAACGCGGTAGTTAGACTAGATTGTAATTAACAAGTGTCACATCGTGTTAAACTAGCGATATGATTTCTGCAAGGAGAT